ATATATTCTTCACTAAAGGGCCAAATGTGTTTTTCTTTTATTTCAATTAATCTAATTGTGAAAAAAAAAATGGAGGTTTATTGTAGGAAACATAAAAAATAAATTCACATTATTTTCTCCAACTTGTGATGTAAATACTGTATGTCTGGAATTTTTCACCATCCATTTCAGACACATAAGGATTGTTGTTTGGTTGTATTTMTTATTCTCCTGCTTATGGTTTGTTATGAACTGCTGTGTGAAGAACTTTGATTTAATATTCATGAGACAAAACCTGCACACTTTCAGTTCAGAGCCACAATGTTCTAGTTTCTCATGATGTTGTTTAAAGGATCTTTGTGAGTGGAAGCAGCATCCCTTTTCACTTTTGGTCAACAGGCCTGATTCAGGGACTAAAAACCTCAAAGTGATACTTGAGAGAAAGTACAACTATATTATRYTAAATTACTTTGGTAAAAGTTAAAGTCTCCGCTAAGAATATTGAGTAAGTCTTAAAGTATCTGACGTTTACTGTACTTAAGCGTCAAAAATAAAACTCTGATATAAAGTATACTGAAGTATTAAAAGTATTGAGTAAAAGTGAGCTGTTAGAGTTTCCAAAATAACATTTATTGGGAGGTGACCTCTCCAAAAAAACTTTTCTAAAGGCTATAATGACTAAAATGTTCCATTAAAATGTTAATGTTGTAACATTTGGGCTGCAATCGTCTATATGTTTCATCTGCATATATACTGTATAAAATCTGCCATAGTCATTTTTTCTTCTTTTATTATTTACAACACAACGAAGACAAACATTATAAACAATTTGTTTTGTTCATTTGTTTGTATTTTCGTTTTGTTCTGAACCATTACTACGCTCATCTTCGAGGCTACATACTGTATGCCTGCTGTGTTCTGCCGGAGTGTGATGTGATTTGTGTCATGTTCAGGTGAGATGGATCATTCAAATCAATAGGGTGTCAGAATGTAATTAGACATATCATCAACCACAATTAAATTCACTCAATCTGGGAGGCGTCACATCTGGAAAGGTTTTTTTTTTATTTGAACGAAAAGCCGGAATCAAATCGAAGTAATAAGACTATTTTTTAAAACACAAATTATAAAGAGTAGAAATACAAAGTCAACTGAAAATTTATTACTCCAATAAAGTATAGATAAGCAAAATTTATATGTATTACAAAGTATTTGTACTTTGTTACTTTAGACCTCTGATCCCAAAGGCAGTGAATGAGCTGCTCAGAACTCTGTGTCTCTGGTTTCTCTCTTACATCTCAAGCTCAGACCCTTTGATAAAAASCAGTTCACAGCCTCTGCAGACGGTAATCCAGCCGACAGGAAGGATTAAACCTCAGGTGTTAAAGCTGGTTTTAAACTCCCGTCCAAAGCCTCCTCCTCGTCCTGCTCAGACCGGGTTCTTTCAGCAGGGTGGGGTTTCCTTTTTTCACACACACGAGAACAAACACAAGTCACATGACACAGTGCCTGCTGATGCACACCGCCTGCAGCCTGACGAGGAAGATAGCTGTAAATAGCTTCTGTTATGTTTTATGTGAGTAATGTTAAGGGGGGAGATTACAGCCAGAGCGCAGCCAAAGTAGGTCATTAGTGACACGAGAGGGACTCGGATGTCACTCTTCCATCAGCCAGAATGTCAGGGATGTAATGGAGCCTCCTGATATTCTTTGACATGGTTATAGCTGCAAAACCTTTTATTCATGAAATGCTTTAGTAAATTAAAGGTCTAGCATTTCACTGAAGGAAAGCATATCCTATGTTTGTAGTCATTTTGGTCAAAAWGCCATTCAGAAGATGTCAAATTTCCACTCAATATCTGTATAATTTACTGAATGTTATCAATTTATGTGTCTGCTAATGTTGATTAGCTTTGACAGTCACCTTGAATTAGTTTAAGTCCAAACATTAATTGCTTGCAGTGGTGGACAGT